ATGAACTTGGACCCTGTCTCTCGAAAATAAAATAAAATTTTAAAACAACAACAACAAAAAATAAAGTCAATGTTATTATCTAGCAGTATCTGCTTAATTGAAATCAGAGAAGTCTGAATAATTAATTCTCTGCCAGTTGGCAACAATTACATAAATTTGTGTCAGACTCCCATTACACTAGTAGTGAACAAATGGATTCACAGAACCACTTTTTATTGAGTGACTAATATTTCAATTTGGTCCATCATAAGCAACTGGCAACAGTTCCAAGAGTGCCAAAGGTTTTTATGCACTGGTTTGGTGTGAAGCTGTTTTGACTGCATCACTGTTTTACTTACTGACCTGTAGCAGAGATTGCTAGTCGTCTCCAAACATATTAGTCAAGACAGGCTGGGTTATGTTGAGTGACGAGTCAACTTTAAATCAATTTCAATGCTTTGACACATTTCTTGTTGCATGTGGATGGCAGAGGCTCGGTTCCACATGGCTCCCAGGGACCGAGGTCAAGGGAGGCTCCAGAGCCTTGTGTTCACATCATCTGGAACCTGTGGTGTTCTTGGCTGCTGGGGCAGGGAAGAGCTACTGGGGACTGTAGTTTTTTCACATGTCACTTCCCCTCATAGCCAACTGGCTAGAACTAGTCATGTGGTCTCACTAGTTCAGTCTTCTGGTGCCCAGAGGGAGAACCAGATCTTGGGAAACACACAAGTATCTATCATACCCTGTATCTAGTCTTCCCTTCTTCTATAGCAATGGAACTACTGTTAGCTGACACATGGCTTCCCCTCCTCTCAAAAGATTACATTTCTAACTCTAAGTGTCTCAGCTTTGACCACAGGATGCTAGGTAAGGTGAGGTCACAACTTGCTGGAAGTGTCCTGAAGGAGAGGAGGGTACCCTTTTTCTCTTTCTCCATCCTTCCTGCTGGCTGGTAGGTAGACATATGGCTCCAGCAGCTCCCTTGCATTTGAAAGTGACCTTGGGCATGGAAGCCAAGCATGAAGAACAGCTACCTGGGAGGAACCTTGGCTTTTGACCTCTTGGGGAGCCATACCAGCTCTCAATTATCCCCGGACTTCCTATTTATAGGAGAGAAATAAATTTCCTATCTTGTTTTAGCCACAATTACTTTTTTTTCTATTACTTACAGCTGAATTTGATCCTTACTCAGATGGGGCCCCAGTGCAAAGTCTGTTATGACTTCTGTTTTCAGTAATATCCCTCTTCTCCTTCCATGTTCAGAATCAACCAATAGACATAAAAGTCTGAGACAGAGGTCAAAACCCCCCTGCTGTTTCCAATAAAGCTGACTGAGGATGTGGCCTTAGATTGGTGGACCAAAGGGCTTGTTAACACTTCACTCCCGACTTGGACAGGTTACCTGCCATTGCAACTGACATAACTTGGGTGTTGCCACCTCAACACTACTGACACTTTGGACTGGATAATTGTTGTGTGGGTTCCTCTTGTGATCATGTTTAGCAGCCTCCCCGTCCTTTGTCCCTAGATGCTAGTAGCACTCCCGTCATAATGAGCAAACTTGTCTCCAGACATTGCCAAATGTCCCCTGGAGAGCAAAATTTCCCCCAGTTGAGAACAATTGGCATAACTGAACAGCAGAGCCCCCTCTTGGGAGTGTATTTCCGTAGCAGGAAATTTCCAAAGAGAGGAAACCCAGGAGGGACTGAGCCTTTAGTGTCCAGTTCCTTTTTCCAAACTCAGAGATGCCACCCCCTTTTCAAGAGGTGAATGAGGGAGAGGCCAAGTGTGTTACTCTCATCAATGTTTGTCTACACAGGAACCACAGTTCTTGTGAAAATGCTCTTTTGTTACAGTGAGTCATTTTTCTTACAGCCTATAATTTCACAAACATTAGCTAAAAATGTGAATGACTGGTTGGGTCCAACTACTTTCACCGGAAGTGAAGAATGGGCACTAGAAAGCCTCAATGAGCAAGATTTAAGCCATTGGGGTCAAGCTACATTTTCTTTAACACTAGCGGGCCACTGCGTTAAGTCCATTTGTTTATTTTCAGAGTCACCGTGGGTGTTTGGAGAGAGTACATTGTTTGTGAGTGTGGGTGCGTGTGTGCACGCACAGGCATGTGCTCACACCTCCTGAGGCCAAGACCTATGAACCCTTCAGCTCCCTCAAGAGCAGGAGGATTGGCCAGGCGCGGTGGCTCATGCCTGTAATCCTAGCACTCCAGGAGGCCGAGGCAGGTGGATACTCAAGGTCAGGAGTTCGAAACCAGTCCGAGCAAGAGCGAGACCCCGTCTCTACTAAAAATAGAAAGAAACTAATTGGCCAACTAAAAATATATATAGAAAAAATTAGCCGGGCATGGTGTCATATGCCTGTAGTCCCAGCTACTTGGGAGACTGAGGCAATAGGATCACTGAGCCCAGCAGTTTGAGGTTGCTGTGAGCAAGGCCACAGCACTCTAGCCTGGGCAACAAAGTGAGACTCTGTCTCAAAAAAAAATAAAATAAAATAAAAATAAAGAGGAGGAGGATTGCCCCATAATTACCAGCCCTTGGATAGAATAAGCTAGTGTAACAGTTCTCAAACTTTCTGGTCTAAGGATCTTTTTTTTTTTTTCAGTCTTTCATATGATTTATTTTCTCCCTTCAACCATAATAATATGATATCCAAACTTTGTCTTCACCGGTGGATCTGTAAACACAGGCTTATCCATCCCACTTACAGGCAAGGCAAATGCTGCTTCTTGAAAGGGTCCCACCATGGACCCTCTGGCATCCAACCCAAGTCGCCCCCTTGCCTGGCTTTATCTTCACTATCTTGTGCAGCCGCTTCACTGAATCTCATTCCAGACTTTAACTTTTCCATGGCGTCCATGATTTTGCCGTGTTTTTCACAAAGAATGTGTCTGACCTTTACTGCATCGCCACCACCTTTGGGACCCTGAGCCTTCTTGTCAGAACTGTCGCTCTCAGAGGCTGCTCCCTCTTTCCCCCCTTTTCCAGAACCACTTTTTCCTTTGGGCAGCATCTTCTAAACTTGCTGTTGAACTTTTTCCTCAGGATCTCTTTAAACTCTAAAAAATTGAAGACCCCAAAAAGCTTTTGTTCACATGTATTCCATCAACTGACAATTAAAGTACTGCAAATTAAAACAGAATATTTTATATTTATTCATTAAAAACAATAAACATATTACATGTTAATATATTTCAATGAAAAATAACTACATTTTCTAAGACAAAAACAATTAGCAAGGAAGGGCATTACTATGCATTTTCACAAATCTCTTTAATAAGTCTGGTGGAATAGAAGACACATGAATTTTCGCTGTCTGCTTCTGCATTCATTCTGTTGTGATATGTTCTTTTTGTTTAAACATGTGAAGAAAAATCCAGCCTCAATTGGCACATGAAAGGTTTAAGTAGCCTTTCCATATCCCGGAGGACATCTTTCCCTGATATGACATCAAAACTTGACAAGTGGTAGTTTCTTTTAGTTGCAGCCCTCTGCTCTGGGGAATCTCGCCTTGGAGACTTCTGGTCTGGGGCCTCCCCTCTGGCCACAAGGATGCCCATTGCCCAGGCTGCACTGCCACTTTTCCTCACTTCTCCCATTGTCACTTCACATCTTGTTTCCCTTTCTTCCTTCCCTCTCCTGTCACCTGTTTTTCCGCTCCTTTCTCTACCTTCTCGCAGCAGATTTCTTGCTGCGGAGCCACCACCTACTGTCCTCCAAAGGCCAGGCTGAAAGCCCCAAACATCACCCCTTTCCCACCCAACTACGGTGGCAAAGAGGCCTAAATCCAACAAGGTGCCAGGTCTGCCTTCAGTGGTCAGAGAAGCCACAGGAACAGAAGATAAAGCCAGAAGGCACTGCCTTCATCCTCAGCTGGCACCTGGCTTGGCTGGGCAGGGCTGCTGGAGGGCGGGCCAAACCCATCGCTAATGGAATTCAAGAGCCAATTCTGAAACAAACGTAGTACAATGAATTGCTTTTATTCTAATTTTCATTTTTAATTGTTAAATAATCAAGTGGCAGATTCCTGAGATTTTGAGACACAACTTAACACTCACGTACGAAAGAGAAAGCCTCTCTCACTCATTAACTTTGGGCATCCAACTCCATGCTAGCGTCCCTGGGGCCAAAAGGTGTCCAAAGGGAGGGACAGAAGGGTCATAATTCTCTCAGGTTTAAAGGCGCTCTCTGGACAACAGCACAAAAGTGTTCATCTTTTGCTGAGTCGAGGGACAATTAGATGTGCTGTAAATTTTCACAAAATGCAAAATTTGCAGAATATTTTTTCAGTGCAAATCAGTCTGTTTTGTGTTTTTGAAAAGTCAGAGTTTTTTGTTTTTTTTTTTTAATTCTTGGGAGTTGTCTTGAATGTAGTCAGGTCACTTTTCTTATCAACCAACAAAGACTGCTGGAGCACTACACAAATACGGGAGACACATACATGTTAGATATGGTCCCTACACTTGGACAGCAGGTAATGCCAGCTGGGAAAACTCAGCAGCAACTGAAGAGGATACATGATGGCCTCCAAGTGCCACGTACAGATGGTATGCGGGATGGGAGTTAGGTGGAAGGAAGGTGTGAGCCAGATGCAGAATGTGAAACACAGAGAAAAGGAAGACAATTCCAGGAAGGAGGATAAGAGCAAAGGCTGAAAGTTGGGAAAGTGCAATGTGCATTTCAGGCACAGTGAGAAGACCAGTCTGGTTTGGGCTGAAGGCCCACAAGGCAAGTAACAAGATCAGACCCAAGAACAAGGCTGAGGCTGGCCTGCAGGCCTTCCACAGCAAGAGACCGGACCCCGGCCTGCAGGACACGTGGGACCGCGCATGGTTTCTGAAGGAAAGCAGCAGAGGCGAACGCCAGCAGTAGCGTATGTATGGAGATACGTATGGAGAGATGGAACGGTGAGGGTGCGATGGAGTGAAGAAGAGCTCAGAAATCAGCGCATGGGACGCTTACTCTAGTGCTTTTAAAAAGAAGAGACCAAACACCAGAAGATGGAGTGACTGGAGAGACACTTCATTTATATAACACATCTACAATTTACAAAGGATTTAGCTTACATGATGTCATTTTATCTTCAGAACAATTTGTAAAGTAGAACATTTGTCACATTTCGCAAGGAACTGCTGCTCAGAAATTATGCTATCACCTTTGGCAAAGCCTTTTTGTTGGTTTTTGGGACACTACCTTTAGTTTTTTTTTTTTTTCCCCCTCTTATTCCTTTTCAGGAAAAGCTTTTTCTTCTGTATGTCCCCTTAAATACAGATGCTCTTGGGCCTCTCTTCTCCTGCTAAACTCTCATTAGATGACCTCACCTATTCTCAGGGTTTAAAGCATCATATATAAACTGAACAACTGCCAAATCAACTACACAGAGTTCAGATCTTTCTTTTGAACACCTGACCTACATATACATAGTTACCTATCTAAATTTCTTTTATACAGCACGTCCAAAATTTATTTTTATCCTACACTTGCTGTTTCTCCTTTCTCCTCTTCCCTATTTTGTCATACCATTATCACTAACCAGTCCAATGATGATAAACAGTGCTCCCTGTGGCTTTTCTTTGGCTAATTTCAAACAACTTTTTGTATCAAACAGAGGGAGTAAGGGAAAGCCTTGAGGCTAACCATCCAGAGAGCGCACTGTCAGCAGTCCCCAGACATACAGACACAAGCCAGCAGGGACTGCGGCGGGAGCGGGCGCTCCACAGAAGGACGGGACTGGAGACGGCCACTGGCACTCAGAGGTATGTGAATGCTAAACACTCAGCAGTGTTTTTTAATACTTTGATTTTGGATTCCTAGTTTAAATCCTTCTATACATGATCTGAATTTTAAGTTGCTTCAAATCTTTCTTTAAAAGCAAAGAGGTTTAAAATATGAATTCAAGTGGTACAAGAATCTCGTATGATAGACAAGGCAGGTATTATTAGTCTAATTTTACAATTCACTCACCCACTCACTGATTTCTTTAAACATTTATTAAGCACTTTATCTGGGCCAGGCACGGTGCAAGGCGCTGGGATATAACAATGATTATGACAAGGTCCCTTAAGGAGCTCACAGTCTAATGGTAAACTACAGAGTAAACTGAGGCACAGAGTGGTAAATGACTTACCCAATGAGGTAGAAAGAGCTAGGTATGTGGAAATGTGGGACTAGAGCTGGAGAGAGGGCAGGGCACAACTTGTGGTAAGTAAAACCCCTCTGACTGAAGAGCAAGGCTGCATACAGAAACATATTACAAAAATCTGCCTGCAAAAACCTTAAAATAGTTCCCAATTTTCACCATGATTGAATTCAGGTCTCACGATGAATTACACTATTATCTGATGGCATTTCTATACTTGCCCCCGGAGCCTTGGGGCATGCCACCAATTTGCTGGGACATACAACTCCATAGACAGCTTGAAATCAAGATGCATCCAATACCAGTTTCGGCATTGGGAATCATATTAAAATACTTTAACTCCATGAATGTAAATGTATAGCACATTTATGATACTTCTACATGTAGAAGTTTGGAAAAACTCTCCTCTAACCCTCATCCAGAGGATTCTAATAAGTTATAGATACCAAGGAAATTAGAGAATTTGTCTGTTACTTTCCATATATACATTATTTTGCTGTACAAGGATGAAAAGCGTCACTTAGACATATTTCATAAGTACTCTAAACATTATACAGATATATATACAAAGACATCACATTTAGGTTCGTGTGTACATCTTTCCAATGTACAACAGCTAACTGCAAACACAACCAGTGTAAGGCAATTTCTTTTGTGATATACGATACGACCCTTGAAGGAAAGGGTGGCACATCCACAATGAACATCCATCTCAGGCCTGACCATCTGCTTTCATGACACTCTGTGATGGAGTTATTTCAGGTGTCAAGATGTCTATCTCGCTGACAAAAAGCAGTGAATAATTATAAAAAGTTGTTTTCAAATGTGGAAACCATAATTATCTAAGTAGTGAACTACTCAAAGATACTACCGGCATTAATGCTGCTGCTAACAAGGAGAGCATGGCAGGGATGAGTTATTGCTCTGAGAATCAGACCGATGCATCATCCATCCACCTCCGTAGGATGTTCCTCAAAAAACTCAATACATGAATTCTTAAATGCTATCTATCAGTTGCTCACTTCAAGCAATTCTTCATTTTGCTGAGGATTTTCTTCTGAAAAAGAACACATGAGAGAGGAATTATAAGTGAAGGACTGAAAGGCAGACAGATAACAGAACATACGATCCAGCTACTTAAAAAAAGTGAAGATCCCTAGTCAAGTTCATGTTAATAGCATAAGGCTAATTTTTTCAGTCTCACAATAAACAGGAACTCAAACCTGTACCTAAAAGCCCATTAGATAATGTAGAAAGCCATTCCATATTAGGGCTTTATTGGTTTCTTTTGGAGATGTCATGATTCCCTAATTATTCATTATCCTTGTGTCCTTGTGTTGTTATCTGTGCATTTGAGGAGACAGCCTCCACTTCTGGCCTTTTTAAGTGTTCGCTGGCAAGGATAGAGCTTCTCTCTTCAGACTGGCCAGTTGGGGACCACCCCAGGCAGGCAGAGCTTTTTGTGAGCTCTCCAGTTGGCTGGGCCACTGCCTTTGCTCTTTGTTGGCGGGGCTGCTGGCTGGGTTCTGCTGTCTTGTGAGATCACGGCCTGGGCTCTGTTGTCCGGTGAGAAAACTGCCTGGACCTCACCGTCCAGTGAGACTACTGTCTGGGCTCCGCTGTCTGGTGGGGTTGCTGGCTGGGTACCACAATGGCTTCTGCTCAGGATGTATTCCCGGCCACGCAATTCCACCATTTGGGATCTGCAGCTGGACATGGCTACAGGCTGGGCTCCAAGGTTAGATGGAGCCACTGCTCTGGCCAGGCAGGACCAGAGGCTATGCTCCTTAGAAGTGCAAAGTTGAGGATCCCTCTCTGTCCTGCAGGAGGCGCAGAGTGGGCTCTTGGCTGAGCTGAGTGGATCAAGTAGGTCTAGCACTTTCCCTTCTCCAAGATGTGTGGCGACGGCGGAGTCTCCTGCTGGGCAAGGTCACTGGGCGTGCTTTCGGGGCCTTTGGAGAGTGGAACTGCTGTGTGACCAAAAGCCTCCCTATACAGAGCCTACCGCCAGTGGTACTGCCATGGGACCAGATTGAGTGTACCTATAAAGTTTGTAGAAATATCTAAACTCCAATAAGAATTACCTTGTAATTCTTGTTTTTTTCCTCATGTTTTTGTGGATAAGAAGAGTAAAAATATCTTAAGGCCATAATATACATTCATAAAATTACATATACTTAAAATATCATTAGAATCTTAAATTTTCTAATCACAAAGTTGGCATGTTTACCTTCCTCAGGGCGTTCTGGATGTCTGCTCTCAGACGAAGAGGTGACACCTTCAGACCTTTTGTGACCCTGCTCCACTTCACACAGGTAGACGTCAATAGGTCCTTTGGTGCTCCTTATGTGCACTGTGATAGAATCCTGCAAAGGACACACAAACCATCAAGACGAATGAAGACTTATCAAGCATACTTTTGCACTCACTAGAACTGCAAAAATTTCAAAAAACCTTTCTGAAAATTATATTCTGGTGGTTTCCGTTCTATCATACATTTTGAGAAAATCATCATCTTAGCTGTAACCACATTAAACCACTGGACAATTCACACAGCTAGGACAGCCACACAATGCTGTAGTCACAGTGTCACAGCCATCAAGTGGACACCTCCATACTGAAGAGCCTGTTTTCCCTACTCAAGAAGTCGATCCCTTGAAGGAGGCCATACTTGAGAGTTGAAAGTCAGCGTTTTGATAACAGAGAACTCTGGAATACCCAATAGTTTCATAGGATAAGGGTGTGCTTGGATTTCCAGACCAATAAAGAGGTATCGAGATAAGTGGAAGGGCCATTCCTTTGTCCACTTGAAAGAACTAAGAGGAAAAGATCAAGTCGAAATACACCTCATGTAATTTAAAACATTAAAAAAAATGAGAGTCGTAACAAAGGACTATTATTAACTCATGATTTTCACATTTTTTGGCTTCAGATTTATTTACTCAGGATTTAATTAAAATACTTTTTCCATAAGATATCAGAAAATTGAGTGCTTCTACTGAGAATTAAGCTAAATTCTTAAGGAATAGTTACAGTTATGATTCCTTTGTTTTGTTAATAGAGAGCTGGTTTAGCTGTAACACAAACTCTACTCTCTCCCCTTTTACGTGGTTAGACCTGGGCTGGACACTACAGACACCACTGCTCCCTCCTGCGCCACATCTCACTGTGCTCTTATCACAGAGTGAGTTCAGTGAGATGCAGCATCTCAGAGGGCCTCATTTGTCCTCCTTGCCATGGCTTCCTGGTTCCACGAATGTGGGCTAGAGAACATCTGTGCTCAGCTTCTAGAGGGCCAGGTCAAGTCTGGTTTGAGTAGTAAACCTTGTGCAATTTAACAGTTAGAAACAATAAAAGAAACCAGTATGTTGCCCTGAACTGGCGGCCAGCTGAGGACTTCACATTCCACTAGATCAAGGATTGGCAAACGTCTTCTATAAAGTGTAGGACAGTAAATATTTTTGGCTTTGTAGGCCATGCCACCCCCGTCACAACCTCTTACTCTGCTAATGTAGTGTGAGAACAGCCAGAGACAGTATCTAAACAAATGGGCATGTGGTTGTGTCCCAAGAAAATTATTTACAAAAATAAGGAGCAGGATGGATCTGATCCAAAGGCCAGTTTGCCAACTGTCACGCCAGGTCCACAGCTCTCCCCCCAGGTCTTTGTGGAGTCAGACTCTACCGAAGCCAGCATGCACACATACCTACTGCTGAGAATGGCTGGCCAAGAGGGCCCTTGTGCACAGACTTTAAATGGGACTCTGAGAGAAGCCTTGAGCATGATTAAAGGCTCAGCAAGATTTAATAATTATAGTCTGATGCAGCTCATAGCACAGGGAAAAAACCCAAAACTCATCAGTCACTGCAGAATGGATTATCATGCCCCATAGTAAGCATGTGTTGAAGGACTAGTAGCTACTTATTTAAAAAAAAAATCTGTGAAACAACTCATATTAAATATAAACGTTACTTGGATACTTGGAGTGTACCTAAATCCAAATAAAATAACTAGGAAACATCACCAAGAGGTCACAATTTGAGTGCGACAGACAAAAGAAAGCTGTTCCTAATTGATACACTGTCAAATGACATGGGCCCTCACTTGGACAGAGAGGTCTGCTGGGGATAGGAGGAAAGGTGGATAGCAGGAATGCTCTTCACTTGGAGGGGGGCAAATCCGTCACAAGAATGGCCACATTCCTTGGTTCTGACTCTATCCTTATCAAGCAATCTTCTGATGACAATTATGGTTCTTTTTTTTTTTTTGAGACAGTCTCACTCTGCTGTCTGGGCTAGAGTGCTGTGGAGTCAGGCTAGCTCACAGCAACCTCCAACTCTTGGGCTCAAGCGATCCTCCTGCCTCAGCCTCCCGAGTAGCTGGGACTATAGGCATGTGCCACCATGCCATAATATATATATATTAGCCTGGCAATTAATTGGCCAATTGATTTCTTTCTATTTTTAGTAGAGACGGGGTCTCGCTCTTGCTCAGGCTGGTTTCGAACTCCTGACCTTGAGCAATCCGCCTGCCTCGGCCTCCCAGAGTGCTAGGCATGAGCCACCTCGCCTGGCCTAAATGAAAATATTCTTAACAGCTGCTAGCTGCTTAGCACATTCTTTCCCTTGCAGGAAAGTTTGTATTGAAAGATAATTGTTGGCCGGGCGTGGTGGCTCACACCTGTAATCCTAGCACTCTGGGAGGCTGAGGCAGGAAGATGGCTCAAGGTCAGGAGTTCGAAACCAGCCTGAGCAAGAGCGAGACCCCGTCTCTACTATAAATAGAAAGAAATTAATTGGCCAAGTAAAAATATTTAGAAAAAATTAGCTGGGTATGGTGGCGCATGCCTGTAGTCCCAGCTACTTGGGAGGCTGAGGCAGGAGGATTGCTTGAGCCCAGGAGCTTGAGGTTGCTGTGAGCTAGGCTGATGCCAGGGCACTCACTCTAGCCTGGGCAACAAAGTGAGACTCTGTTTCAAAAAAAAAAAAAAGGAGAATATTTTCATTTACACAGAAATTTTACTTTTCATTTTAAATTTATAACATAGTGTTCTAGTTTATTCATTACTCTTTTATGAGTTTGTTAGTAAGCTAATGCCCCAGAACCTTGGCTGAGATCAGATCTTACTTTCGCAACTTCAAAACAGGCCAATTCTTGGTGATTCCTCTAAGAAGCATTATAGTATATTGGCTGAAAACAAACTTTGAGGCCAAACTACCTGGGTTTGAATTCTGGTTCTCTCACTTACTGTGTGATCCTGAGAAAGTTAATTCATCTTTCTGTGCTTTGGGTTCCTCATCTTTAAGATGATGATAATAATGTCTACCTGATTTGTCGTGTCACTCAAAACATGTTAAAATGTGCAAAGTGCCCTAAATAGTATCAGGTACACAGCTAACATGCACGTGATGGCTATTACGTTACTGTGACTGCAACGGAGCACAGCCTCGGCCGTTGGCCCCCCTCCCTCTTCAAATCTGTTTTAAATGCAGGACTACCTACCTCTCTGGGAGCAGGAACATCCAGTCTGGTTTCTTCTGGAGCCTTAACTGCAATAACAATCTGTTCATGGAAGGCTTGGATGCTGTGAATATCTTGATATGTTACATATGCTAGTGTAAAAATCAGTCAAGGATCTCTGAGCAGGGTGCTATTTATTAGGGAGAAAATTTATCTCTTATAACTCATTAATGAAAGTGTAATGTTAGAATGTCTTTAGTTTTTATGGGATACAAATTCACAAGTGCAAAAAATTATTGTACTGATAAGTTGTATTATTTCATATGAAATTCTTAAGATTTTATAAAGTATTTTACAATATTTATAACTCAGCTTAAAGAATTCTTTTTAAAAAATATAAATAGATTTAGGGGTATAAGAGTGTTTTTGTTTTTTTAACATGGCTGAACTGCACAGTGGAAAGTCTAGGCTTTTAACAAACCCGTCACCTGAATAGCATACACTATACCCAAGGTAATTTTTCATCCCGCACCCCCCTCCCATTCTCCCCATCCGAGTCTCCAACGTCCATTATGTCACTCTATGACCATGTACATCCACTGCTTAGCTCCCACTTGTGAGAACACATGGTATTTGGTTCCTTGTTCCTGGGTCACTTCACTTAGAATAATGGCCAAGAATTCCTTTAACCTGTACTATTGGAATTATTATGGCAATTTCTGGAGAAAAATATTAATAAAGTTCAAGTCCCTATAACAAACAAGACTCATGAAGGAATTCAAATTGCTACCCTATTCCCTATTCATTGCTAGATCATACTATAACTTTGGGAAAAAATATTCAGTGTTTTTGATAAGAATCCCCTAAATTGAAAGATGGTAAAAAAAAAAAAAATCTATAAAAAGTAGAAACTTAAGAGAATAAGTTCCTCAGCACTATTATGTATGACAGATTTCTCTCATCTAAAATTATTTTCCATCTTACAACCTAAATGTATTCATCCTTATTGTGTTAACTCAAATTTTACCAATTAAGTGATACATTGGGTTTCTCCAGCATTCTCTTTTACTAAACAGAGTACTATTTGTGTGTTTGAGACTATACTACTAAGTTTTATTTTATCTTTTAAAGATCTATTTATATCTTAATTATATAAATCAAATCCCCAAACAGACCCTACTAAAGTCATTTGCTTTAGATGAGAAATTTTAAAGATTTAAAGGATATCTTTCATTTTCTTTGTCATCTGTTAACTCAAACAGCTGCTGAGCACAATCCTTAATTAGCTCGTCCAACGCATCTTCCATTGCTGATAAATCAGAAAGTTCCTCCTGTAGCTTCTTTTGTTGAGGTACTGCTCCAAAATTGCTAAGATCAGATCCTCTTTAAAAGAAAAAAAAAATCACCATCAATAACATGTAGGAGATTATACAGTAATTGCAAGTTAGGTCATCAGAACTTCAACTGTTTACATTTGGTGTTTTCCAAAATGACAGACAGAAACTAGGGACTTTGATTTAACTTCTACCCTCTCTTTATTCTAGACAGCCATTATTCCTCCTCTACATAAATTATTTTTTGTTCCCAATTATAGTTTCTCATCTTACAAGGGAACTTTTTCAAAAAATATATTACAACCCTATGGAAATGAATAATCATAGACACAGCCCAATGAAGTAATAAGAGCACTGATCTAAGAGTCAATAATACCTAGCCCTATTGCTTACAGCACAACTTTTGACAAGTTATGATCTTTTAGTACCTTAGTTTCTACACCTGAAAAACAAGAAGTGTTGGCGAGATGACAGTTCCTCTGCTAAAATTTTATAAGTCTGTATTTTCCCCATTGTGTATATTCCACCTAAATATAATGATTATATTATTATTAAAAAATTTATTTTCTGTAGTTATTAGTGTCTCCTCCAATATGATATGACTAGGCAACAACTTATATTCACTTTTTTCCTTTAATCTTTATGGAAAATAAATAGGGGAAAAATTGTTACCTTTATCTTTTATCCTTTGCTTGCCAGTTTTCAAATCTTATTCTAATTAGTGATTCAGAATGCAATCTGATATGAACCCCTAAAGTGTTTTTAATGTCATTTAGTAAAAATGTTTAAAATAAAATTCAATCTGTATTTCTGTACAATTGAAAAAATAATCTCCCTTAGGAATCCATTTCCTCTGATAACTAAGTTAATTACTTACAGTCATTTTACAATCTTTGTCAGCAGATTTTTCATTTGCCTGAAAGGTCTCTATACACTTACACGCTGGACCTGTTTCTTCCTGATCCAAAATACTTGCCTATTCTGGTATAATAGCTTTTTTCTTCCATGCATGTACACACACATACCTTTTACTACATCAATATCTTGGTCCTTTTCCCATGGGATCCTTCCTAATCATGTCAAGTCTTTAGCAATTGCCTTTCAGACATTAAGTCTAATTTTTTATTTAAATATTCAGGGCAGTATGTTTCAAAGTATGATCCATAGGCCACACACATCATAACCACTTAGGGTACCTGTTGAGAATGCAGATTACTGTCTTCCCCCAGAACTACTGAATTATACTCCTGAAGCAGGAGGCTCTAGGTGTTCACTACACTCCAGTGTGAAAACCACTGTTTTATAACCTTCACAGATTTCCCCTGATATCAATAGGAACTAAGGAAATATTTTCTTTTTAATTATGTTTTTTGTAGGATAATGTAAGAAAATTTATAGGGTCCTTTTGTAACAAGAAGTCATATCTTACTTTGTTTAATATTGTCAAAACACTGCTGTTATTTAGTTTGTTCTAAGCATGGAACTGTCACTTAATGAGAAGGGAAAAAAGGCCATGAAAAGTTTGGAACCAACTCACATCCACCGAATATGGTTCTTAGATTTTTTTTCAACAAGGTCGATTCCATCTAAGACATTGGTGATATCATATACTCTTCGTTTCCGTACTCCCAGTTTTGTTGCAACCTTGTTTAAGTCAAGAATACCCCCAGGAGCAGATCTGACAAGATCCATAAATTTTCTAGTTAAATAAACCAGTGACACATCAAAACGAGGTCTCTTCACTTTTAGCGCTTCTGGGAAACAAAATAAACACATTTGTAAAATTTTAAATAACATTTCTCAACTCATTTAAAAAACCATTTATTTCCTCTTGATCAAACAGCATAGACATCTGCAGAAATTCCCACATACTGACTGAATCATGGCTGATTTCTATCAAATAAGTTTCTCAAAATGGATAAGAAATTTCTTTGCCTATCCTAGGTCTAAACAAAGGCTTTAGACTTAAATAAAGGAGTATTTGAAATACGCTACCAGTTTCAAATAACATGTGAATTTTTAGAAGTCTACTGCATCTTATCAGACAAAGCAGTAAATTTACCTTTGTATCCATACCACTCTCAGGAATAGAACTAGAAATAATTTTGAAAATTACATTTTCATTTGGTCTTCAAGTTCAGGAATTCTTCACAAAACAAAGGTAGAGATTGGGCTTTTTTTTTTTAATGTTTTTATCCATGCCAAAGTACTAATATAACCCTGTCTGATTAAGTTTTTAAAAGAGCCCAAACTATCTTTTATAAGGACAATTATGATATATCTTGAGGAAAAGTAGCATATCCATTTTTAAAAATATTCATTACCCTATATTAACAGATAGGCAAATGAAGGGAAAAAAAAATCTCCTAAAGTCCCTCACTCACTCACCTAGTACAATCATTTTGGGTTTTCATAAACACACCCCCACAATACACATACATGTCAATATGTACACATAGTTCTTAAAAACAAAAATAGGAACTTACCATTTTGTAACATGTTCTTAACTCAATATTGTAAACATCATGACATGTCAACAAATGTATTTCAACATTATTTCTAATGGCTACATATTTAACTGCATGGAATATTTGCTAAAGTTATCTCAATACTGGAAATTCAGACTGTCTACAACTTTACTATTTCGTACAATACTTCAAAGAACCTACTTGTTGCTAAATTATTATATGTACCCTTAACTGTTTCCTTTAGATAAATTCCAAGATATGAAGTTGCTGAGTAAAAGGATATTTTTAAGGAATTTTGATATGTACTGCTAAACTGCTATCAAGGTTGTGGGATCTATCAATTTTACACAGTAAATAAGGGCTTAATCTCATGCTTTTTCATCTTTTCTAATTTGATACTAAGAAAAAGTTCTTATGGCTTGGTCTGCAGAGGAAATAATTTCTAACTCAGTTGTCATTCTGTTGTAGAATATATGATTTCCCTTTTTCTCTACTTCCATGGCATACCACAGTCAGTATGTTTCAAAAGAAAGGTCCATGTCACCTTCAGTCAGAAATGCCCTTACTCAGAACCTTCACAATGTCACATTCAATTTAAAGACCACCGGTGGCTACTCCAGGAACAAAAGTACGTATTTCATAATATAAATGTCTTCTCTGTGGAACCCATTTCTACACTTAAAATTAAATAGGAGTAAATTAGGAATTTAAAAGTATTTTTAACTGGAAGTAGAAGAAAGTCACAATTCTACAACAAAACTTAGAAGATTACAAATGAGGAATTCTAACTTTAAAAAGCATGTAATGAATTATACTAATTACTAACAAGGCATGGTCTTATAAGCTCAGGATAAGTACATTCCTGTGATGTTATTTTATAAAGAACAAATATAACTGAACACCTACAACATGACAGTTGCTAAGGGGATATAAATAAGATTAAAAAGGCCTTCAAACTAAAGTAATTCCAGAGTCTAATGAGAAACTGCATTACATAATAAATCCTGAATAGGTGCTAGAGAGATATTCAAAGTTACTTGATACCACGAAATAAAACCTTTGCTGGAGTGGGGGCTGGGAGGGCCTCTTAACTGGAGCAGGCTGGGCATGGTGCATGGAAAGACGACAGCAGGTGTTGGCCCACTGCCACAGAGGGTAGAGGTGAAGTGAGGGAGAGGAAACAACATGTCAATAACAAAGCAGCATCTGAGAACCCGTTCTCAGGGACTGCATTCAGGGAATCCACAGGGAGGGCGTTGCGCAACGGATAAGGGCAGCAGAGTGCTGGAGATGAGGCTGCAACATTAAGCAAGAAACAACCTTTAGGGGCCTTATCTTTTTGTTTTGTCTATCTATCCTCTACCACCTTGTTTAAGGATACGAGGTAGCTTCTAAATTTAATACAAATAGACAAAATCAAATATATGAGGAGTCAGGGTTTTCTCTGTAGGTAATAGAGCAGCACTGAAGAATTTAAGGTGAATGACATTAACCCCATTTCTGTATTAGAAAACTCACACTGGCAGCAGAACAGAAGAGGCTAGGGGTTGCAGAGCCTGGAAGCTTGCAGCCCACTCAGAAGGCTATCCCACAACTTCAGCTTCGAGAGACTCAGACTGTGAACTAGAAGAAGCTATCTAACACAGTGGTTCTGACTCTGGGCTCCTGAGTCGGAGAGGCATGGGACTGACCCCTGACTCTGAGCAAGTCACTTTACCTCTCTGGGCCGCGGTTTACTTATTTATACAAAGTGAATGATAATCCACACCTGTATTTTGAAGGGTTATTGTGATAGTCCACGCAAAGAGCTTAATACAGCACCAGGCATTACACAAGCTCAGTAAATGTTAGATATCGTCTATAAACTGGTAGTAGGGGATGGACGAAAGAACACTTCAAAGCTAAAGCTGACCAAACTTGGTGACCATCTATGGGTGAGAGTATAGCAGGAGGTGAGGAAAAATGAAAGTTTAATATAAGTAAGATTTATATTTGGTCATCTATGCACGATCTATCCACTGAGATTAGGACCAAATTAGAAAGAAATTAGGGGTGGGGCAATCTATCATAAAGACTTCCAGAAGGACAGGGAACTAGAGCAACTGACATCCCTACCTCCTTTAACAAATACCCCAAACAGTAACCTAAAGTAGGCACCAAGAAGGAAAGAGTAAATTTCTCTCACAGGAGGAATTTTGGAAAAATATCTTTAAATACAGACTGTTCTATGAAAAACAAGCTGGCATTTGTGCACCTTATTCAACTTTATTCAACTCAAATTCCAAACTCTACAGTTCAGTGTATGAATAATATATTTTATTTCAGTTTCTTCTCAACTCATAAACATTCAAAATAAATCATTTTAATCATATTAATTTCAAACTACAAAACTTATTCAGGAATCAACTTACTTCTCATGGACACATATTGAACATTATCTTCCAAATTAATCCTTATTTTTGATGGCTGAAAAAAAAAAGATGTATAAATTTAACTTAGTAATTTTAAAACAACAATGCACATGAATAGCATTTTACTCTATAATATAAAGGATGGGGTTTTTTTCACCCTAAAGTAATAATCTGGGTATGAGAAAAGTAGTCCTTCCAAACTATATCTATTTCAACTGTAATTGCATCTGTAATGCATAGATTTACATTTCTCAGGTTGCATGGGTGTGCATAATTATGGCAGTAAAGACAAGGAAGGGTGAAAATATGAATATGAGAATTTATTACTGAATAGACATTAACTTGGTGACTGCATTAGGTACTGAACATAAAAAGGAATGCAAAGATCATTAAGACACTGTCCCTGACTCTGGAAAGCTCAGTAAAGGTAGAAGATCTATCTAAACTAACAAATGCTCACCCTTTGCTATTTAAGTGGTTCCAAAAAATTTGCTCATAAACTTTTGTAGGCAGGCATGCATTCCCATTATAATTAATGTAAAAACAGCAGCACTTCTAATAATGGGAAATAATGCATGCTGTGGATAACTAGAAACTTCTGTATTAGATAAATTTAAAAGTTTTTTTAAATTACTGAAACACCAGGAAGTTAGTAGCAGCTCATTAATGCTCAACCATTTTACCAGCTATTAGGAAGCTATAGTAACATTTGTAACACATTCAGAAACATTTCTTGCAAATAATAAAATAAAACTCCCATTAATCTCAAGGCTTAGAACAGGTGCAATGTTGTTATATGCCTCCAAAAAGGCATGTGAACAAGTTCAGCTCTTGTCTAAGTGACAAAATTGACCCATAAAGGAAAACTAGGGTGAGCGAATTCCACAGGTGCTTTAAGGAAAGAATCAACAGGAGTACTATGGATGCACCCAGACAGGGAAATCACAGAAGGATTCACAGGGAAGGTGGCCCCAGCTGAGCCTTGACGAGCCAAATTCTGCCTGAATAATAAACCATAGAGAGGGAAGAAAAAGACTATTGGTGCAGAAAATGAAACAAACTAAGGTGTGAAGGTATAAATTGCATGACATGTATTTGAGAACCCCCCTGTGTGGCCAGTGTAAATGTCTTGATTTTGAAGCTGGAAAGACATGCTAGCACCACACAAAATCATGCTAAGGAGGAGTTTGGGCTTTATGTTCTAACTAGTGGAGAATTACCAAAGGTTTCTGAACAAGACTATGACACAATCAAGTTCATGGTTTAGAAATAAAAGTATGGCAGCAAAATGGCAAAGGACTGGGAAGTTGGGAAGCCTTAAGGCAGGGTGTGCAGTTAAGAAGCTCTTTGCTCATAACAGTGTTAACAAGTCCTTGGCATGATGATTTCCTTATCATCTGATGATAGCATCCATTAGCAAGTTAATTTGATACGAAATAATTCCATTGAGACAGAATCCCCCTACAAAATCAGTTCAGTTGTTAGAACTGAAAGAACATGTAGACCTGCTGCAGTGTGCAACACTGGAGATGGGAACGCCTGCCTTGGGGGCAGGGACCATGTCTGGCTAGCTCTCGTTGGCAACAGTGACTTGCAAACATGGTATCCAACATCAAAACTCTGAGGCAGTCCTATTAAAGTCAGACATTTGACAAGCATGACCAACTGTCATTGCTATTTTTACATTTAAGCTCTCTGCTAATTTAGTATGAGACAGGGGCTAGCTATATAGGCAGCAAGATTCTTGAATGAAAAAAAATCCATCCTCATCACATTGATTTGGAACACACACAAACAAATATCCTAAATTGTCATAGATAAGCTCAGAGGTGACTTACCGCAGAGGCTTCTGTTCTCAATTTAGAGCAATGGGGCCAGGCTTTACAAACACAGTCCTTACTGGCTGCCTCACTGTCTGCCAGCCACATAGTCTAGAGGGGCATCTTTTCTGCTCTAGACCCCCCCCTTTTGTCTCCTGGTCTAGACAGTTATTCACAGGTTGGTACTGGCATAATACTTCTGTTAGGCATAATACCACAAGAAAAAATGGCTATTCTACTATAAACACAGTTCTTTGCATATTGGCTATACTGATACACATGGGAAAACAGACCCCAACAGCATGCATTCATTTTTTTCCCCTTTGAATATGAAAACACTATCTCTTTATCTTGGAGAAATCACAACAGTACCTTTGCCCCTGAGGGGCAGGCATCATTTTATATATATCCTATCTGCATCTTAGCTACAAAATGGAGAAGGCAGCAACCTTCAAACAGAAAATCACTAAGGATGGTCCTCAGTGCCCTGACAGAGTGCACAGCTCTCTGGGAACCAGCAGCTCCTGATGGGCAAGCAGGCACAGTTCTTCAAGTGCAAAGCTATTTCACTGTTGCTCCAAATCCCACATCTAAAGACCTCTACTTTTAAATCTGAGAAGCTTTGACGAGCTCTTTCAAAAGTGGAAGAAAAGAAATAAAAGGTGAATTTTAGGGACTAAAATTCTAAGCACTGTCTCCAAACTGGTTAAAACTTTCTCTATACAGGCTGGGCATGGTTGCTCAGGCCTGTAATCCTAGCACTCTGGGAGGCCAAGGTGGGTGGATCCCTTAAGGTAAACGAGTTTGAAACCAGCCTGAGCAAGAGTGAGACCCCCCCACCCCCGTCTCTACTATAAATAAAAAGAAATTAATTGGCCAACTAAAAAAAATATATATATATAAAATTAACCGGGCATGGTGGCACATGCCTATAGTCCCAGCTACTTGGGAGGCTGAGGCAGAAGGATCGCTTGAGCCCAGGAGTTTGAGGTTGCTGTGAGCGAGGCTGACGCCATGGCACTCTAGCCCGGGCAACAGAGTGAGACTCTGTCTCAAAAAAAAAAAAAAAGTTTCTCTATACAGATGCCTCTCTGTACCAATTCCATTTTGGGGAGCAATATTCCTTTGAGAGCTCTTTGGAAACACAGGATTGTATTCTTCTCATCTATTCAAATGTTTCTTACTTATCAATGGGCAGACTAAGTTCTACCTCCAGCCAGTACTATGTTCTCCCTTCTCAAAAATTCCAGACAGCTTTTAAGCCATTTATTCAGGCAACAATCACCAAGATACATAATTAAACTTTGCACAGCAACACACATTCTGAGATAGATACTCAAATCACAACCTTACAGGCAGGAAAACAATCATACATTCAAACTTTTACAAAGCACCTACTTCATTTATTCAACGACTATTTACTGAACCTTTCTGTGAGAGGCACCAATGCACTGGGGATATAACAATGAAATGGACAGTGGCTGCACTTAGAGACCTAAGAGGCACCCACAGTAGAGAGGATGCTTTGGGAGCACAAAGGGGGTGCTTAACCCAGTCTTGAGAGGTTAGAGAAGGCTCTTCAGACAAAAAAACCTATAAATCTACACCTGAAACACCATCAGAAGGAAACACACATTTTTCAAAAATAAAACAACAAAAAAAGAGAGCCTGTTTTGGAAAGGGGAGTGTGGGTAGGTAGAGTGTTCAACCTAGACAGAAAATAGCAAATTCAGTAACCTGAGAGGTATGAAAGAATATGGAAACATGGAAAATGTAGCAATGATAAAGCAGTTCAGGAAAGGCAAACTCAGGAGCCAGACTGTGAAGAAGTTTCTACTCTATCCTGAGAGCACTAGGAAACCATGACAGATTCTTTCTGCCAAGTGACTTGATTAGAAATACACTTTTAAAAGATTATTGGGGGGCGGGTATATACATACATAATGAGTGAGATGTGTACCATCTGGGGGATGGTCATGATGGAGACTCAGACTTTTGGGGGGAGGGGAGAAAATGGGCATTTATTGAAACCTTAAAATCTGTACCCCCATAATATGCCGAAAAAAAAAAAAAAGATCATTATTATGTGTGGAGAACATATGGAAAGTGAGGGGCAAGACTGGAAGCAGGAAAACTGCTTAGGAAGGCACTGCAGCAATCTGAAAGGCAGATGATGATTAGAAGTGACAGGTATTGGTGATTAATAATTAGATTGGGAGGCTGGAGAGGGTCAGTTTGGAAAAGGGAGAACGCCAGAATGCTGCCTAAAACACTGGCTTGGGCAACACAGTGGGTGTGGTACCGTTTATTAAGACAAGACACGGCAAAGTTGTTGCCTGCTCAGGCAAGAAGATAATTCTGATGGTTAATGTTAGGTGCCAACTTGACTGGAGCAAGGAATACCTAGAAACCTGGTAATGCTTTAGTTTTGGGTGTGCCTGTGAGGGTGTGGTTTCCAGAGATTATCAGTGAGTCTGAGTGGAGTACAATGTGGGCAGACACCATCCTGTGTGCTGGGGCCTGGAGAGAACGAGAACAGAAAAAGGAAAATATGTCCAGCTATCTGTGGGAGCTGGGACTATCAGTGCTCTCTTGTCCTTGGATAACAAGACTTACACTGACAGACCCCAGGTTTAGGCCTTTGGCCTCAGACTCAGAGTTCCGCCACCACTTTCCCTGGTTCTGAGGCCTCTGGACTTGGACTATCAGTATCCCAGGGTCTCCAGCTTGCAGCCACTCAGCATGGGACTTCTCAGCTTCCGTAACCAAAAGCTAATTTTTCTAGTAAGTCCCCTCTCATATCTATACATAGTCTTGTGTTGCTTAATGATACGTTCTAAGAAATGCGTTGTTAGGTGATTTTATGTTTGTGCAAACATCATTGCACTTACACAACCCCAGATAGTATAGCCTACTATACAACTAGGCTATCTGGTATGCTACGACCTACTGCTCCTAACTGTAAATCTGTACAGCATGATACTGTACTAACTACTGAAGGCAACTATGATACAAAGGTCATTATTTGTGACAGAAATATTTCATTTCCATTATAATATTATGGGACCACAAATGTACATGTGGTTTATCATTGAATGAAATGTTATTATGTGGCACAGGGCTATATTTATATATCACATTGGTTCTCTCTGGAGAACCCTAATACAAATTTTGGTACCAGAAGTGGGGTGTAGTGCACCTCCTCATGGGTCCTGCTGGACTCGAGTCCAGTTACAGGTCTAGAAGCAAAGAAGGGTGGTGGGTGGGTCCTCAGGAGCTCGGCACAGTCTTGCTAGGCAACTGTGTCGGGAGGCCCATACCACTTCCTCCCGCAGTGCAGAGTTCAATTCCCTCCAGCAGGTGGAAAGGCTGGCAGTACCATGCGTAGGAATGCTCCTGCTCCTTGGGGGTGGGGAGGTCACTTCTGCCAAACAACACTCATGAGAATTTAGGAGCTCAATGTGCTCAGACTCATCAGGGTCTTCCCACAAGTCCCCATCGCAACTGGCAGGATCCCATTCTTCTCCAATCAGTGCCCTCACTTTAACAGCAGGTACTCTGCAAGGCTAAATAGTTCAACTTTCATTGTAATTCAGCCAGTCCCATGATGAGTGAGGGTTTGTGTTTGATTTCTGCAACTTCAGCCCTGTAAGCCACAGAAGATTCCAATCCACGGCACACTTAGAAACTCTTAGGTCATTTGTATGGAGCTGGACCCAAGAAATGGAATCCCTGAGCTCATCCTATTCTTTCATCACCTTGTTCAGTGACACTAGGAGGAACCAACCAATGTCATTATATTTCTTGATTTTCCACAAATGTTCAAAAGCACCATGTATAGAGTTACTAAATTCCCTGCCTCTTATAAGCAGTAAATTGGGAGTATCAAATACATTTATTTTGTGTATCTCTATAAACAAACAGTTCACATCATGGACTATCAGTGCTCTCTGTACTATTGGAAGTAGAGTCCTTGGCATTTTTAGGTCTAATCAGATTAGAAAGCCGATTCCAGAAACTCAAAACCAATTAAGGAAACTCATCCTTAAAATTCTGATCCTCTAGAACTACTCCTAGTACCAAAATATGTATCAGTATTGGTCTGTTTCTCTAGAGAACCCTGACTAATATAAAAATAAATTTAATTTTGGATATATAGTAGTCCACACTTAAGCTTGGAAGATATGTTCCAAGACCCCCCCCCAATAGTACTGACCCCTATATACATTCTGATTTTTCTTATACATACAAACCTATGATACGGTTTATAAATCTGGCACAAGAGATTAATAACAAAACAGAAACAGAATATACTATGATAAAAGTTATGTGAATGAGGTCTCTCAATATATCTTAGCAACCTCAGAATACAACTTTTTTCTTAGTGAAAACTTTCACTTTTTCACTTAAAGAACATTATGGCTTCTCTTTGGCATATGTGAACTGCCAGCATCACTACTCTTGCGCTTTGGGGCCACTATTAGGTAGCTACTTGAACATGAGCACTGTGATACTGCGACAAGTTGCTCTGAGAACCAAGATGGCTAGTGACTAACAGGCAGTAGCATCTACAGCATGGCCACACGGGACCAAGGTATGATTCACATGCCAGGTGGGATGGGACAGGACAGCTCGAGATTTCATCATATTACTAGAAAGGCAAGCAATTTAAAACTAATGAATGAATTACTTTTGACATTTTCCATTTAATATTTTTGGACCATAATTGACTACAAGTAACTGAAACCAAGAAAAGCAAAACCTGGGATGAGAGGGGACTACTGTGTGAGTTTGAAATCTTAGTAGGAATGTCTAGTAGACAGCTGGAAAGCCCTAACCTGGATTTAAAGATTTAGGAGGTATTATTACATAACATGGTAAGTGAAACAACCAGAATGGGTAACAATATCTAAGACTTCAAGAGATGTATCTTCTGATATTAAATGCAAAGTTAAGTGGTTTTCCTACAGTGAGAGTTTAAAGATTTTATCACGTTCTCAAAAGACTAAGACCACCAATACAGATGGCACCAATATACAGTTGACCCTCAAACACAGGTTTGAACTACACAGATTCATTAACATGCCAATTTTCTTCTGTCTCTGCAAACAGACAGCAAGACCAACCTCTCCTCTTCCTCAGCCTATTCAACATGAAGATGATGAGGATGATGAGCTTTATGATGATCCACATCCACTTAACAACTAGTAATACAGTTTCTCTTCCCTATCATTTTCTTAATAATATTTTCTTTTCTCTAGCTTACGTTATTATAAGAATACAGAATACAAAATGTACATTAATCGGCTGGGTGTGGTAGCTCAAGCCGGTAATCCTAGCACTCTGGGAGGCTGAGGTGGGAGGATCTCTCAAGGTCAGGAGTTCGAGACCAGCTCTGAAGCAAGAGCGAGACCCTGTCTTTACTAAAAATAGAAAGAAATGGGCAACTAAAAATATATAGAAAAAAAATTAGCCAGGCATGGTGGTGCATGCCAGTAGTCTCAGCTACTCGGGAGGCTGAGGCAGGAGGATCGCTTGAGCCCAGGATTTTTTGAGGTTGCTGTGAGCTAGGCTGACGCCATGGCACTCTAGCCCGGGCAACAGAGTGAGACTCTGTCTCAAAAAACAAAACAAAACAAAACAAAAAACCAAAATATACAGTAATCAACTGTTCATGTTATCAGTAACGTTTTCCGGTCAACAGCAAGCTATCTGTAAATTTTGGAGGAGTCAAAAAGTTAAAGGTGGATTTTTGCTTTTAGGGGTTGGCATTCCTAACCCTCATGTTGTTCAAAGGTCAAATGCACACAGTAACACAAGTCCTGGGAGAGCAAATGAACTCTCATATGAAGAATGCGTAGGGAAGGTAGGCAAGAACCCTGAATAATTCAACATGTAAGGAATGGGGAGAGAAAGATGATGATAAACAGAAGCTAAATAAACAGATGGAGCTTATGTGGTGTCAAAGCAACTCAATGAAGAGAGTTTCCACCAAGAGTTGTCAATGGTCAAAACTACAACAGCTGCTGGAATGGACAAGATTGTCCATGACCTTGGTTAGAACAGTCTTATAAGTGTGCTTAGGCCAGAGGTCCCCAGCAGTGGGTTGGGTGGTAATGACAGACAATCAAGTGGACACAAACAACTTTTTCAAGAAGTTTAGCCATGAAGGGGAAGAGATACAGTAGAGGGGAGGGGATATGGAATTAAGATAGGTTATTTTTTAAGGTAGGGTTGGATTTAGGATGTAATTTAAATAGTCAAGAATTTATCACCTGGAGTCAGACATTCTGAGGTTAAACCTAGGTTTCTCCACTTAGTATCTAACCATGGGCAAACCACATAACATCTCCAAGTCTATTTGGGTAACCGTAAAACAAGGATAATAATCTTTTAAGACTGCTGTGAGGAATTAAATGAGATAACGCTCATAAAAAATTTGGCATGAGGACTTGGCATAATGACTTAGGTAAATGTTTAGTTACTACCAGGTGTGGGAAGAAAGCAGCAGAGAAACTGAAAATATGGGGGGAAATGGGAAAGGAAGGATTCATCAAGAGCCCTGGGAACCACGGGGAATACAGCAACTGGTCCAGAGCAAGAGTAGAGGAAATCAGCCTTCTTACAGGAAGGGAGCCAAATCTCCCACCTATTTTCTCCACCAAACAGGACGGGAGATAATGGGGAGCTGCAGCGAGGGAAAAGTGAGGGGTGGAGGAGGTTTGAAACGGCTGCAGATAAGCAGAATTGGAGAGGTGGGAGAAAAGACGACTAGGTGATAAGCTGCGGAGGTACACCTAGGGTCCTGTTGAGGGGGGAAAATACACTTTCTAACGCAAAGTTGAACAATGTTCTCTCACGGTGCTCTGCAGCCCCAAGGAGGCTGACAACACACGCTCGCGAGCGGTGTAGAAGGGAGAGTGTGGCTGGCAGCACGTGAGGGGCAGTGCCGGCCGGGGACGGCGGGGACCGAGCGACGGGTCATTCGCGCTGGGTGGCAGCGCCGGGAGGAGGGGCCGGACGCGCAGACCCCGGCCCAGCCCGGCTCTTACCAGCAAGCTCTCCACGTTGATGGGGTCCCGGCACCGGCGGCGCACCGTCTCCTCCGCCGGGTCCACGAGCAGGCTGGGCAACTTCCTCGGCGGCCGCTGCTGACTCATGCTGCCCGGCCGGGCGGCCCGCGCCCCTCGCGCCCCGCGAGCTCTCCCGCCTTCTCCCGCCCGGCGCGAGCGCCGCCCCCAACACGCCGGTTTCCGGCGGCCCAGCAAGAAGCGGGCCCGCGGCCTGCTCGGTGGCGCCGCCCCGCTAGGCCGTCCCGCCCGCCGGCACGCGCGCCGCGGCCCCACGAGCCCGAGCGCTCCCAACGCGGACGGGCGGGGAGCAGGGCAACCCGCGGCTCTCAGGACGCCAGGCCCGCCATCTTCCCGCATGCGCAGTTCGCCGCACCCGTGCGCATGCCCGCCGCCGCGGAGCGCGCCCACGCACGGAGCCGCTCCGGCCGCCGGAGCCCGGGAAACCCGGACCGCGGAATCCGCGGAGAGGACGGGGAGGGAAAAGGAAGAGGTGGAGCGGGGTTGGGATTGCGGAGGAAGGGAGCGGGGGCCAGAGAGCAGAGGCAGGCGGGAGGGGAAACGCAGCGGCCGCCTGGGAGGTCCTGGCGCTGGTAGCCGAAAGTTCTAGATTTACCTGAGCGCGCAGGAGTGTTCATTGGTTCCTGAGCTTCCTCCGCTCGTGTAGCGTTTGGCAGTGTCGATGCTTAATTAGTAAATGCTGGTAACACACCATTGTGGAATTGTTTACTTCTATGCTCCTTTCTTTCTCTTCTTTCCTTTTCCTTTCTTCCTTTCCTTTGGTGAATGAGTTATTGATTACCTGTTGTGTCAGGTATTGGGGTGGGCACAGGAGATATTCCTTTGAATATGGAACAGACTCAATCTCAAATTTTGGTGGAGGAGACAGATAAATAAACAGTAATTTAAACTGGAGCCAGAGGTGTGTTTTCCAATCCTGGCTCCCTCTCCTTATAGATTAGAAGACCTCAAGCCAATTCTTCTTCTTCTTTTTTTTTTTTCCCCCTTTTTTGAGACAGAGTCTCACTCTGTTGCTCGGACTAGAGTGCCATGGCATCAGCCTAGCTCACAGCAACCTCAAACTCCTGGGCTCAACCGATCCTCCTCCCTCAGCCTCCAAGTAGCTGAGACTACAGGCATATGCCCATGCACGGCTAATTTTTTCTATATATTTTTTTAGTTGTCTAGCTAATTTCTTTTTATGTTTTTAGTAGAGATGGGGGCTCACTCTTGCTCAGGCTTGTCTCGAACTCCTGACCTCCATCCATCTGCCCTCGTTGGCCTCCCAGAGTGCTAGGATTACAGGCATGAGCCACCGCACCTGGCCCTCAAGCCAAATACTTAACCTCTTTGTACTTCTGTTTCCTCATTTGTAAAATGGGAATAATGACAGTACTTGACTCATAAGGTTGTTGGGAGGATTAAATGAATTAGTGAATATAGATTACAGTACTTAGAACAGGGACTAGCACGTATCTGAAATTAAAAGGCAATGTGGTTAAGTATGGGCTTGGAGGGAAGCAACTGGTCAAACCCGGGGCTTCTACCCAGCCTGAGCGGGTGCAGGGAAGGCTTCCTGAGGAAGTTGCCTCCACACTGGACTATAAACTTCTTGAGGTCAGGGGACTTTACTAATCTTTGTATCTCTAACATCTAGCACGATACCTGGCAAATAATAAGTGCTCAGTAAATGTTTGCTAAATGAATGATTTGAAATAAAAGATGACTAGGAGGAGGTCTTTAGAGGATTGCATTTTGTTGCAGAATGAAGAATTTCCCAGAGCAGTTAGAAATGGCTGTTTTGGGGACATTTATTCAGCATCTGCCATACGCCTGGCATTCTGCATACCTTTACTCATGTAAATCTCTATCAAAACTAAAGGATAGGTATTTTTCTGCCCAGTTTACAGATCAGGAAAACGAGACCAGCAAGATCACAAACATTACCCAGGGTCCTAGGCAGGCAATAGTAGAGGCAGAATTTAACTCCACAGCTGACTAATTTCATATTCGGATCCTTTAGAAGATTCTTGAAAGGTAACTAGGTTCTCCACGGCCAAAGATGGGGCCAGGTGAGTGAAGGTGGGGGTGGATCAGGAGGGGAGTAGCAGACAGTCCAGGCTAGAGAAACAGCATGAGCACACACCTGGGGAAAGTCAGAGCAATAGCACAAGACTCAGACATTCACTACGACCTGTTGTGTGGCTTTACCCTGAGACTTAACATTTGCATGGGGTTTTTGAGCCTCTATCAGGTGCCTGGCAGTAGGGTAGGTGCTGAGTGGAGAATTAAATCTGATGGGGCCTTACCTTGTGTCCCAGGGGCTCCCTGCCTGGTGGAGACAGGTAACCAGAAAGCATAAGTACTAAATTAGAATATATCTAACACACTAAGATGGCAGAAAGGAGGAAGAAAAAAATAATAACTGAATTTGGTGTAAATTACAGGTGCTTTTTCACACATCTCCCTGTGAGGTAGATATTGCAGGAATACTTTATAGGTGGGGGTACAGAGGCTCAGAGAGGTTAAGTGACTAGCTCAAGGCCATGTAGGGACTCAAAGATAGGACTTTGGCCACCAAATCCTTTGCTCTGTCTACCATAGTCTTACATTGGTACACAGATGCAGTCCCCAGCACAGAAATCCTAGCATTCCGATTTCCAGTTCTGCTTTTTGTGTGTGCTTCCTGGGGCAAAATGGTCCTAGGGCAGACTGGACTGTGGGCTTTGAGACTTTACAATTAGGGCTGAAATATAAGCCAAGTGCACAGGCGTGCTGGAGCAATGCTGAAAGACCTTATCTGTCAGGGGATATTAACATTTTTGCCTTCCAGGTCTGCGAGGAAATGGCCATAGCCAATAGGACTTTCTGTGATGATGGAAATGTTCTGGCCATCATGAGCCATTGAGCACTTGAAATATGGCTAGTGTATCTGAGGAAATGAATTTTAATTTAATTTTTAATTTAAATATCCACATAGCTAGTGGCTATCATACTGAATAGCACAGGTGAAGAAACTAAAACTGTAGGTATCATTCGGGCCACTTGCTATGGTCTGAACGTTTGTGTCCCCCCAAAACTCCTATGTTGAAACTTAATCCGCAGTGTGATGGTATTTGGAGGTTGGTCTTTTGGGAGGTCTTCCTTCATCAGTCATGAAGGAAGAGCCCTCAGGAGTGAGCTTAGTGCCCTATAAAAGAGACCCCAGAGAGATCTCTTGCTCCTTCCACTGTGTGAGAGTCTGTAGCTAGAACGTGAACCTGGGTCTGTGAACCGGGAAGTGAAGTGGACCCTCACTAGACACTGAATCCACAGGTGCCTTGATTTTGGACTTCCCAGCCTCCAGATATTTGAGAAATACATTTCTGTTGTTTTTGAGCCCACCCAGTTTATGGTATTCTTTTACAGCAGCTTGAGCAGACTAAGATACACAGTGCTGTTCTAAGTGTGGTCTGTGACCTCAGCATCGCCACCACCTGGGCGCTTGTGAGAAATGCACATTCTCCAGCCCTACCCAGTTCTACTGAATCGGAAACGGTGGGTTCGTGTGCACTCTGCAAGGCACTGGCCAAGTCCATCCCCTTATTTTCCAGATGAGGAAACTGATCCCTGCCCTCTCTCTAAGTGTATGATACCCCTAAATTGATACTTGGCTAAGCTGAAGCCAAGTTAACTTTTCTAATGTAGTGTTTTGGGATTGAGGACTTAGAAAAAATCCTAGCGGTCACCACTTGTCTTAGTCCTTTTATGCAGCTATAACAGAAATACCTGAGACTGATAACTTATAATGAATAGAAATTATTGGCTCACAGTTCTGGAGGGTGGGAAATTCAAGATCGAGTCACCAGTATTTGGTGAGGGCATTCTTGCTGCACCACCACGCTTTCTATGTCATCCTAAACACTTCCCATTTAGACCCCACCTCCCAACACTATCACATTGAGGATTAAGTTTCCAACAAATAAATTCTGGGGGATATATTCAAATCATAGCACCACTGTAACTTAATATTTGCTAGATGTTGTGACTTTCTGTATATATCTCTCATGCCAACATAGGCATTCTTAGATCTTACAGATTGTTGTGATAGTTAAAGGTGGGAGGAGATGATAGTGCGGAGAATATAGGAGGGGTCTAACTGGAGGCAAGAAAAATGGCTAGGATGCTGCCATAGCCACTGAACACACAGCCGATGATGGCCTGAGCCGTGCTGGAGGTAGTGAAAATGGAGAGAAAAGGACAAGTTCAAGAGATAGAAGGTAGAGTTCGAAGGAACAGAGTTTGGGGGCTGATTGGATTCCAGGGAAGACTTGGCCTGAAGATAGCAGTTTGGCAATGGATTATTCAGGGAGTGTGAGTAGAGCAAGGTGGGGCAAAGCCAGAGGATGGGACCCAGAGGAATGCCCAGATTTAAAGGACTGGCAGATGCTATTATAATGGGTCACAATACGCATGTTTTGCTTTTGTTTTTAAACCAAACAATTACTAAGAAGGGAGTGGCTAGGAAGACAGAAGGGGAATCCAGATTATTAGTGCCTTAGAAGTCAAAAGAAAAGGTTGATTTTTCTTTTTCTCTCTCATTTTCTTTTTCTTCTTTCTTTTGCTTTGTCTTTTTTTTCTTTCCTTCTTTCCTTTCTTCCTTCCTTTTTTTTTTTTTTTTTTTTTTTGAGACAGAGTCTCACTTTGTTGCCCAGGCTAGAGTGAGTGCCATGGCGTCAGCCTAGCTCACAGCAACCTCGAACCCTGGGCTCAAGCAATCCTCCTGCCTCAGCCTCCCGAGTACTGGATCTACAGCCATGTGCCACCATGCCGCGACTAATTTTTCTATATATATTAGTCGGCAATTAATTGTTTCTATTTTTATAGTAGAGACGGCCTCCGCTCTTGCTCAGGTTGGTTTGAACTCCTGACCTCGAGCAATCCGCCTGCCTCGGCCTCCAGAGTGCAGGATTACAGGAATGAGCCACCTCGCCAGGCCCCCCCCCCACCTTTTTTTTAAGATGGAAGAGTCTTGGGTTTTTAAATGTCAATGAGAAGGAGCTGGTAGCACGGGAAAGGTTGAAGATACAGCAGGAAAGGGGTACCTGATGGGTTGCTGCCCTGAGAATGCTGACAGGGATGAGCTGGAGGAAGAAATAGGAGATGAGAGGAAGGACTCTGCTCCAAAGTGACAGGAGGAAAAAAGAGAAGCTAAGGACAGATGCAAGTAAGCAGGTATTTTAGCAGGAAGTTGAGGGAGTTCTTATTCTATGAAGAGGAGCTCGGGACACCTGCTGAGAGTAAGGGGAAAGGGCAGAACGGGAGATTTGGGAGACATGGCAGGCACTCAGTAAATCTGTACGGACAGATGGATGGGTGGATGGACGGATGGGGAGCAGTGG